GAACAGCATGATGCCCATTCGGACATCGTCAGGGAGCTATGGATTGAATCTCTACCGGTCCACGTCTTGACCACGGTGACAGCACTCCTAGAATACACTTCGCTCGATAGGATAGCTTCCATTGTAGATAAAATTATGGCCCGGGTTGGCAACGCTGAGCCTTTGCTCGTTGCCACGACTTCCCTTCAGTCTACCCCGCCACGTTCTGCACAGNACAGCGTGGCAAACCACGCTGTATTCACGAGCGCCTATCCTTTAAGGATAGAGTTCCTCAACCCACCTCGCACGTCGCTCGGGACCGGGCACGCCGTGTGCGCTCTAAGGCTGCTAAGCCCACCCTCCCCTCGTCACAACGTCCGAAGTCTAAACCGTCAAAACCGAGTAGGGACGGGTATTGCTGGTTTCATAAAGCTTGTCGATCAGGTGCCCGCAGATGTAAGCCCCCTTGCACTTACGCCGCGGGAAACGCCACCACCGGCGAGTAACTGCGACAGTACTCGCCGGCCCACCCCAGACCCTGGTTGGCCGTCTATTTTACGTGCAAGATTACTACACACGCACTAGGTTCCTCGTTGACACGGGAGCCCGAATTTCTGTCGCACCTGTCGGTAACAGCAAGCCTCGTGCTTCACAACCCTAGTTGTGCGCTGTGAATGGCACCCCCATTCATACTTACGGAGCACGACAACTAGCGGTCAACTTGGGGCCCCGACGACGGTATCCGTGGGCGTTCACTCTCGCGGCCGTTCCTACAGGTATCCTCTGTATCGATTTTCTGCAGTTCTATGAGCTACTCGTGGTTGATTGATACTTCATCGAACATTAAATTTACCTGCCTCAAAGCTCGCACAGACGTTCACCGATTGCCTGATTCGCTCCACTCGTTCCACTCGTTTATGGAACGCTTCCCCAACTTGACTAAACCTATTGAGGAGATCAACCTAGTGACAGATCGTGTGGCTCACCACATAGTCACTGAAGGACCACGAGTCACGGCACGACCTCGCCGACTGGTACCGGACAAATTAGCTTTTACTAAGCGTGAGTTCGATACTTTTGTAGTGGCTTGGAACCAACCGTGTAACATGCTCGAGAGTGTCACCATCTTTGGTCTGCCTGTTTCGCATGTGTGCTTTCACATGATCACAGACATTGGTTGCTTGGAGCATTCGCTCGTGCATCCTTCTCCCTTGTAGCATAGAATCCGCCAGGATCTTTGATATCCTGAGACCACTTCTTCGGCTAAGTCTTTTATCTTTGTTTAAGTCTCTACCACCTCCGGTGAAGTACTCCTC